AGTGGTGGCAGAACCGGACACTCAGTATTCAAGCTCCCGCTGAAACTTGCAAGTGAAGAAACGCCCATTTGCAACATCAGTAAAAGTAGTAGTCGTGGTGCTCTATTGCAATGGTGCAAATTGATCGTATGGGACCACATGCTCCCGTGTGTCGAGAGCAAGAAACACATTTTATTTACGCAGAAAACAATAAGTCCCGCATTGTGGTTTACCGGGATGTGCTGCAGTAAAGTGATTTCTAGGTCTCGCTCTACGACCCGAGACAAAAAACAATTACATAAGACAGCATAATCATCTCTCCCGTTCTGTCAGTTATCAAATTTTGTAAATTGATCTTTCCGATGTTTAAGTTTAAATTATTTTGCTTCTAAATATGTGAATAGTCATTGTTTTTACTGTTAATACACAATTTATTTTCCCTAATAAGCCGCGGGTAACACCGCGGGGCACAGCTAGTGAAATATAAAATAAATGTAGATTTGAGTCAGAAAAATATTTACGCCTTCACTGAGACGTACGAAAAGCTTTTTAATTATTGAAGAGTACAAGCGACCAAAAACAGCACAATATCGACTATTGCTCTTTGCCATATTAATTTATTTAGGTATCTACTTAATTCAATCAAATATTCACAATACAAACGTTTAAACACGGCTAACTGCTTAAAAAACAATTGACACCGTTCGGTCGTCGCTGCGGCGCATTCGCGCCTGGATGCCCACCGGGTGCCGCGCGAACTCGAGTGGCGTAGGTATGACACGCTTTCCGACCGTTTGTAAGAAGATACAATACTGTATAGATAATATTACCGTGACAGAACTATATGCTTCAACGCAGCATAAGCGAAATGGCGAGTCCGCGTCGCTTGGCTTGGCGACAGCGTTTTCTTTTCACTCTCTAGAAACGGCTGAGCTGTATTGTTGTCCTTTTCTTGATAACAAATGGCAAAAAAAAACATTCATGAGAATCCGTGATTTATGAGAAAAAACATATTTTCATAGTTTTACGAATGAAAAGTGTTGCCGTGAAATTTGTTATTTGATGTTGAACTATTTGTGTGCTTTATAAAAGCATCGAAGGCCCTGTTTTTAATTTTTTTTTTTTTTTATAGTTAGGTCCGACAAATGACTCCACCTCACCTGATGTTAAGTGAAGGTGAAGTCCAGACGCGAAGATAGCTGATACAGCAGTTCTACCTGCCACACCAGCCATCCTCACCCTGCCGGCCTGCATGTTGCTTTATAACACAGAATATGGGCAATATTGTTATATTGTTATTTGTGCACATGCAGCGTGTTTGAATGTCAAATTGTGACTAAAGCGAATTATGGTCGTGGACCACAATTTAAGCGGATCACTTTTGAGCCGCGAGTGCCGTATCTTCCCTTTTTACCCGACTGCGCAATGCAAGAGCGCGAAGCGCGACGCGCAGAGAGGTTATAGTGTTTAACAGTCTATATATGTATGTTTGTTCCTTTGTGGCACACTAGAGACCAAACGCGTAAACCGATTTTGATGATTTATACATCAATCGATTCGTTTTAATCATGGGAGTGCTACTAAAGATATGATAGTAATCAAAATTCAATATGGGGAAAATGAGGCGCCATATTGTAACGAAGTAATTATTTAAATCTAAGTTTTAAGTGGAATCGGAAGTACAATCTTAAGTGACACGCCATAATAGTATCCGCATTTGAGAGGGTAGCAAGATTCAAAATAGTGTTTTGAAAGCCATACTTCGTCAGTTTTACCATTCTTCTTTTTGCATTGCATTTTACAGTTATTTGTAACGATTCTTATAGGTTTGAAATGGTCAGATATATAATATAGCATTCGCTTAGCTAACATATTTATTTAAAACTAGAGGTCGCCCGCGACTTCGTCTGCGTTAGTTAACTTAGTTTCTTGAAAATCCCTCTGGAACCTTAAAATTTTTTCAGGATAAAAGAAGCCTATGTGTTAATCTAGGGTGTCAGCTAACTCCATACCAAATTTTATTAAAATCGCTCCAGCCGTTTAGACGTGAAGAAGTAACAAACATACACACTCACAAACTTTCGCCTTTATAATATTAGTGTGATAACTATTACACACACTATCCAGGTCAACCAGCCGTCAACTATTTTGTTTAAACAGATTTATTATATTGTTTGTATAAACAGATTAATTTGTTACGGGCTGAAAACAGCGTTGGCTGAGCCATTAATGCCCTATTGTCTGGTTTTAATGAAATATTATTTAAATATCTGTTAGCATGTAAAACAGACAAAAAATATTATTATTATTGTTTTACACACAGAATCCTGTGAAACCTGGATCTAGTGCAAAAGGAAATATCTGGAAAATTAGTAAATTCAGTTAATTATATTTTTTAATCGAGGAGCGCCATCGAGCGCAAGTGGTTAGCGCGTTCGGCTGCGATCGTTGAACTTAAGCAGCTTTCGCAGTGGTCGGTCATTGGATGGGTGACCAAAAATTACTATCTCGAGCTACTCCGTGCTTCGGAAGGCACGTTAAGCCGTTGGTTGCGGCTGCATCTGCAGTGCTAACCACCCACCAATCCGCACTCGGCCCACGTGGTTGGTCATGGCCCAATCTCCTTATTCCATCCATAAGGAAGGCCTGTGCCCCAGCAGTGGGGACATTAATAGGCTGATGATGATGATATTTTTTTAACATTTTAAAAGAGTGCTTAGTTTTATTTCTAATCGTTTCATAATATTGTTCTTAGTAAGTTTTAGGGAGAAAAGGAGATTCTATTTAAAAAATCGCGATTCTGGCGAAATAATTGAAATAGGTATTCGGTTATTTTACTTATTGGTAATTTTTTTATCTCTTCGTTCGTAACGTTCCTGGCATGAAAAATACAACACATTTGAATGTTTACAATTGAATAAAAAAAATGGAAGATCCGGAGAGAAGGAACAATCTGTAAAAAAGTTATTCAAGCTTAAATTGAAATGGAATTGCATTTGGTTTTGATTCCAAGTTCTCTGTCTGTTAACGTTGGTCCGTACTAAACGTAACTAAACTTATTCAACACAAAGAAGGATAATGTACGTTTAAATCAAGGTATCATTTTAAACATTTGAACAAGTAGTTCCGCTTCTATGATTTTTTAAAATATCAAAACGCGATATCTCAAAACGCTGTTTTTGAAGATAATACCCTTTTGTGGGTTACCTACAATGCGAAGAGATGGCGCTGCCTTGCAGCTTAAGGCTAGGAAAATTTCGACGCGGCGAATAGGGCCGTGGTAGCATAATGATCAGGGCATTCGCCCGGATTGCGAAGGGTGCGGGTTCGAGTCCCGTCCGCTGCCTGGTCATTCAATCAATTAGTAAGATTTCTGTTTTGTTACCAAGTACATTTTATAAGTTGGTCCACTATTGTGTTTGATAGATTCATCATAATCATCATCAGCCTATTATTGTCCCCACTGCTGGGGTGCAGGCCTTCGCTATGGATGAAATAGGGAGATTGGGCCATGACCCACCACGCGGGCCCAGTGTGGATTGGCGAGTGCGGAACCAACGGCTTAACGTGCCTTCCGAAGCACGGAGGAACTCGAGATAGAAAATTTTTGGTTACCCATCCAACGACCGACCAGTGCGAAAGTTGCTTAACTTCAACGATCGCAGCTGAACGCGCTAACCACCTGCGCCATCGAGCTCCTCAATAGCTCCTCAGTTTGATAGATTACTATCCTCAGATTACAGAACAAAAGCCAGACGGTGCGCACGGAACACACAATGCGTGGCATCATAGTAAATACGAAGTCAAAAGCGACTACCAATTTCGTTTACTCATGAGTTATCGATTATGAACAGGAAAGGGTAATGTTAGAAAGAAAACAACAATTTATTAAGTGTTTCTTTGTATATATATTAAAAAGTCGATTGGCAAAACATAATACTACAAAACGATGACATACTTACATCATAATATTGTGTTGATTGAACCAAACACATACGAAATGTGTTGCATAGAAACTGATGAAATACTTAAAATATTATAATAACCACGAAAGACCAGCTTTTTCAATGCGAATATTGACAATATTATATTTCACTTTTACTATAATGCTGAGATTCTACTCAAGCCCAGAACAGTTTTGAACGAGCATACCTTTGCTCGCTCGGTAAATGGAAACATCAGTGCGGAGCGAACGAGTTCGTATGACGATGTTTGAGGATTCAAGGAACGAATGCCTTCTTACTCAATCATCAATGGAAACAACGCAACATAGCTTTGAGTAGGGATGGGCGTTTTTTAAAATAACGATGCGCGATAACGATGACAGGTTTGATTGCGCGCATCCGATGCGGCTTGGTACCTTAAATAAAAACAAAAAGGGTAGATACGGCACTAGCCTCACAAAAGTGATCCGCATGAATTGTGGTTCACGACCCTAATCACTTTAGTCACAACTTGACATGCAAACGACGTACATGTGAACGCCAAAAATAAATATTGATAATATTTTGTCTTTATATGATAAAACAATGCCTAAGTGTGTTTGTAAAAAGTTCTCAAATTGCTCAAGAACTAAAAATAAAACCCACGCATCACTTTTTATTCGTTAGTACTATAAAATATATTTTTTCATAATAATTGCTGTTTGTATCGCGTGATTGGTCGGTAGTGCAGTGACGCGGATCTCGCCGTCCTGTTCGCGCTGCCGTGGGATCAGTTTTTGTTTGATGCTAGTATGAGCGTACCGTATCTACCCTTTTTGTTTTAATCTAAGCTTGGTACTGTTACTGGATGCCCATGCCATCAAGTTTTTGTCAACGTTACTATAGCTAGAGTGCCACAAACTTATTTGTGCCGGCGGAGGTGTCGCTAACGGCGAACAATTATGTCATAGAAATGTCAAAATATTGTAGACAAATTGTAAGTTTGTGTCACTATAGCTCGTTGGGTGCATAGTGAATAGAATATAAAGGAATGGAACGGAATGGAATGGAATGGTACGGAACGGGATGGAATGGAATGGTATGTAACGGGATGGAATGGAATGGAATGTAACGGGATGGAATGGAATGGAATGTAACGGGATGGAATGGAATAATATTTTTACAAACCCTCATTTACACATTAAGTGCAGTGTCTTCCTAGGAAAATAGAGAAATATACCGTGTTACTGTGTTGCTAGAGCTACAATTACAGTTTATCAATGTATCGAAGTAACACGTCCACACAAAACTCGCATCTGTCGTAATTCGTATCGCGTCACATCCTGTAATACTACGATACTCGCTATACTGACATTCACTTGGCATCGAAGTACGTATCGGATGCGATTTATCTTTTTTTTTAGCGTGACGCTATATAAGTCATCTGAGACCAACAGGTCTCCACTTTTACAGCGTCACCGGGTTTGGGGACGGCGAGATCCTAAGGGGCCTCAAGCCGAGTATTGGCGAGTATCTCTAGAGGCATTCCAGGCGGATGGCATCTCCCCACGGGGGGAGTCTCCTCTCCGTCTGGAGCCTCTAGACCACTCGAACCTGAGGGGTCGGCTGTACTAGAGGGCGTCTCTGAGACTCGGACCTCAGCTATGATTCATCTGTTTTCGATGCGCTCATTTACCGAGCGAACAAATTTATTCGCCCGCTCGTAACTGTTGTGAGCAGAAGGTGATTAAAGTTTTAACATTTAGCAAAGTTTCACCTATAAGTACAGTTTATTTACAAACTTATTCAGGTACTAAAATAAATAGAAATTTTACTTAAATCGTACCAAATAATGTCAGCATTTCTTTTCGTTTGCGACTGCTTCCAATTCTGAAAAAATAAATAATAAATAAGGTCCGCGAAACATTAGCATTTATATTATACCTTTAATATTTTTCGCTGGATATCATTCCATATATTAAATCGTGTATTACGCACGTGACAGGCCCTGCCAGAATACCTGATGTCGGCAGGGTCCTGATTGGCCATTTTTTTGCTATTTGTATTTAAAGAAAATATTGCTAGAAAAAAATCCACGTGGACCAGGCAGTAGACGGGACTCGAACCCGCACCCTTTGCTTTTCGGGTGAATGCACTGACCATTATGCTACCGCGGCCCTGATAGCCGTGTCGAATTCTATATGATTTAAACATCTAGCTGTTATATTAAAAAAAATAATAACATATATATATAAAATCATCATCATCATCAGCCTATTAATTTCCCCACTGCTGGGGCACAGGCCTTCCCTATGGATGGAATAGAAAGAAGAAAGAAAGATTTTAATTGAATATTTTGATTATTTATTTATTTTTTCAAATTAAAACTGAACTTTATTGACTGTGTCCTTTTCCAGACTTTTTATTAATTTATTGTAATTAATTATTTGCATGCAATTAAAAACTAATTTTAAACGATGCCAAAGAAGGATAACTTCTCACGCGCCTACATAAGTACACGCACCCATTTTTTTCCTAGTAAAATTTTCTTTATATTTAAACATCTAGCAGATAAATTCTTAAAACAATAAAAATACACATATAAGTTATTTATTATTTACCCTACACAAGTTTGTTCACAAAGACAGTCATGTGTTGTTTGTTTACCCCTTACACTTTGGCAGCTTTCATCATCATCATCATCATAATCAGCCTATTAATGTCCCCACTGCTGGGGCACAGGCCTTCCCCATGGATGGAATAGGGAGATTGGGCCATGACCCTCCACGCGGGCCCACTGCGGATTGGTGGGTGCTAACGACTGCAGATGCAGCCGGGACCAACGGCTTAACGTGCCTTCCGAAGCACGGAGGAGCTCGAGATAGTATTTTTTTTTTTTGCAGCTTTACTAACACAAATTTATTATACTGTAGACTACTATTTGGCTGTAGTCTTCTGAAAGGTTCTCTAAAAAATTTGAGCCATAATTCTAAAACATAATAATATCTCATAGGGTTAAGGTTTTTACGAAGACAAGTGTAAAACCAATAAGGCAGATCTCAAAGCGACAAACTAACGGCTATTTTCTTGCTCAAGAAACGTACAATAGATATACATTCTATTTAGGAGCTCGATGGCGCAGGTGGTTAGCGCGTTCGGCTGCAATCGTTGAAGTTAAGCAACTGACGCAGTGGTCGGTCATTGGATGGGTGACCAAAAATTTACTATCTTGAGCTCCTCTGTGCTTCGGAAGGCATGTTAAGCCGTTGGTACCGGTTGCATCTGCAGTCGTTAGCACCTACCAATCCGCACTGGGCCCGCGTGGTGGGTCATGGCCCAATCTCCCTATTCCATCCATAGGGAAGGCCTGTGCCAAAGCAGTGGGGACTTTAGTGGGCTGATGATGATGATGATGATGATGATGATATATAAATAGTTGATCGCTGACGTTCACACTGCCGATGCCGGCGTGAACTCGCTCCACTTGTTTGTCGCTGAGCATTAAGAGCTACCAAAGATAATACTCGCTCAGCGATGATCGTTTGGACGACAGAACGCATGCGCATGCATTTTTGATCAGAACTCCCTCCACGAGTGAGAGTGAGAGACGCGCCTAACCTAACCTAACCTAACCTAACCTAACCTCCCGTCGTACTCGAACGTTCGCTTATTTATAGCCCAGCGATAAAACTATCGGACCTACACACTCGCTTCCCGTCGATCGTCAACTCGTTTCTAGTTTCTAGCTTTACTCGCTTCTTGTTCATCTTCGGCGCTGGGACAAGTGCACAATGAGAACAAAACAATACTTACCACGCTGGACCAGTTTAGATTGGTGGATAAACTTACAGAACTTAAGAAAAAGACTAGCAAACCAGTGAACCAAATGTTCACCAAAACCTGATTTAAAAAAAAAGATGTATTTAATTAATTGAGAACTTCGGAGATTTTGTGTGGTTTCGTTTGAAATTCGTGATTTCTCGAAAACCGGAAGCGCTACGTTACTCAAATCCGGTTTGTAGTCTTATCAGACTATTCTTAACTTATAACTTAAATATTCTCTTTATCTATCTCTTGCGGTTTGGCCGCTGAAACAGCACCACGGACAGACGGACTCGTCTTATAGATAAGAGATAATTTAGTTCTAGAAGAGAGGTTTTACGTACCGACATCGGCTTCCTTTGGTTCGTTCCACGGCTGCCGTTCTGATGTTGCGAAGAATATGAAGAACAAATTGCAGACAACGTACACGCCGGACGCCACGAAGAAAACCTTGCGCCACTCGGATGGATCTTTCTGGAATCGCAATTGAAACGGTATTATGATTGACTAGCGGCCCGCCCTCGCTACGCTTCGGTGTAGAACTGAAGTGTAGAATACAGTTTTTGTTCTCACGCTTGTATTATACACAATGACATTCATCTATGATTCTTCTTATACCTGCATGCAAAGTCTCAGTCCGATCGGTTTAAAATTGACAAAGTTTCATACAAACTTTCATTCCCTATTTTATCCCCTTGGGGGTAGAATTGATCAAAATCCGTTCTTAGCGGATGCCTACGTCATAACATCTACCTGCATGCCAAATTTTAGCCCGATCCATCCAGTGGTTTGGGCTGTGCGTTGATAGATCACTATGGCAGTCAGTCACCTTTGAGTTTTATATATATAGATATAAATGGTATAAATTAAAGCTAGAGTAAAAAAGAGTGGTCATAACAATTCGTGATTTCTCTAAAACCGGAAGTGCTACGTTACTCAAATCCGGTTTGTAGTCTTATCAGTATTCTTAACTTATAACTTAAATATTCTCTTTATCTATCTCTTACGGTTTGGCCGCTGAAACAGCACCACAGACAGACGGACGGACGGACTTGTCTAATAGATAAGAGATTCTTCAAGCTAGAAACTCTGAGCTTCTTGGAAGCTATCGGCTAAAAGAGATACATCTAACTTGGTGGCGAGTCACAATAGAACTTTAAGATTACAGTGACTTTAGTTCTATTGGGACGGCATAACCCAAAAATATGAAAGAATAATAGTAGAAAGACGAATAGTACTTACTTCATCAGTGACGATAAAGCCGCACACTAGCGGGGCGATAATGGACACGATGTTGGCCAAGAAGTTGGTGATACCCATCAGTATGCCACTGAAGTTGGGAGCCAAGTCGATGTGCACCAACTGGAACAGATATCGTTATTTATTTATTATGTTTTAACCTAAAAAGGAAGGTAGGAAGCAAGAAGAGCTGTTGGACGTATATAGAAATAGTGGCTGCGCAATATCGGGGAATGGACTGGAATCACAAATGCCGCGGAGCTTTTCAACCTTGCCAAAGACCGGGTAAAATATGGAGAGCTAACTGCCAGCCTTAACTAGTTGGAGAGGCACTCGAAGAAGAAGAACCGAACAGAGAACTATCATCATTAGCGTATTAATATCCCCACTGCTTAAGGATGGAAAACGGAGATTAGGCCCTGACTAACCGCGCGGGATATCATTGTTTCGATAAGTGAGTGCTAACAACTGCAATTGTAGCTGAGACCAACAGCTCATTGCCTTCTGAAGCATGGATAAACTGATAAATGATTGGTCACTTATCCTATGAGCTTTGAGAAGGTTGCTTATCTTTCATAATAGCAGACTAAACACAATGACCACAGTGATTGCTCCACCGTGTTTCACAGTATTGTTTTATGTCAAACATGATTTCATTATGTTATGGTCTTGTCGAAAGCTATATTGCCAACCGTGCAAAAGATCAAATACCAAGAATGTACCCATGTTTTCAATATTTTGATGATGCTTGAAAAGTTTAAACCAGTCTAGCATTTTCGAATCCGAAATTAATTTAAATGCGTAACAAATTACAATACACAAATCTCAAACAATTTATTTTAATAAATTGTAAAACACTGGTTAAAACATGAAGCCTCATAACTTAAAGATATTGAGGAAGGGAAAGTAACATTTAATTCTTCTGTAACAGCGAAGGGAACAACAAAAGCCTTCCAGCAAGCAACGAAACATTTCTAATCGCTGCACAGAGAACAAATGGCTCATACATATTTATAACTTACATTGAATTCGAAGCACAGTGTTGCAGTACAAAGGCAGGGAGAGTCGTTTGTAACGAAATGCTTATAATTAAGCAGTCCTCATAGAACGCTATTCTTTTGAGAACAAAATCATTTTACTGCAAAAGTAATAACAGACGTCTTTTTGAGAAAGGCAATTTCAAAGTTCGATTTGAATTTATTTGTGGCGCAAATGGTGCAAATGGTTTGTGCGTATGGTTTGCGATTGTGAAAGTTAAGAAAGATAGATAGACTGGTGATAGTGATGAAGAGTAATGTCCTTAATCATCATCATCATAAACTTATCTATCATTCTAAAGAAAATATAACTAGAAAAAAATCCACGCGGACCAGGCAGCAGACGGGACTCGAACCCGCACCCTTCGCAATCCGGGCGAATGCACTGACCAATTATGCTACCGCGGCCCTCACGGACCGCGTCGAAATTCTTCTAGCCATTCTTAAGCTACAAGGCAGCGCCATCTCTTCGCATTATAGGTAACCCACAATGTCAAATGAATACTTTTACAAGTATTAAACATTTGAAAGAAGAAATAGCAATTGCTTGATATTTAAATCTAAAGAAAATGGCAGCAGACGGGACTCGAACCCGCACCCTTCGCAATCCGGGCGAATGCACTGACCAAGCGTCGCTTGGTCAGTGCATTCTTCTAGCCATACTTAAGCTACAAGGCATCTATCATTTCCTAAATAAAATTCAAACTAATGAGCGCACTCAAGATGCGTCAATTAAAATTAAAGCTTGCGAATGACATGTTGAATAGGGATTAATGATGGGGTAAGTTCTATTTATTCCGTCAGTTAGATTAATTATCAAAAAAATCACAGATCTTGTGCTCGACACGTCTTGAAAGGGCATTGAAAATGAATGTACCTATTATAGATTATAAAACATGTATAAATATAATGAAATGAAATGAAATGACACCCGGCATTTTGTGCCAAAGTTGTATACTTTTTTAATTTTTTTATCGGTTTTTCATAATTGGGTAACGTAGTCTGGCAATATTTGTCATCAGCAGCTAGCTGTCAATGTCAAATACGTAGGTTTGTCATCAAAGGGGTTTCTATATCAAAAAATATTAATCATTAAATAACTTCTTTCCACGATTCACTAAAAATAAGGCAAAAGTAGTTTTATGTAGCAAATAATTTTGGCTTTATTTTGAGACCAAATTCAACTGTATACAAGTTGAGCATTTTTTCTATGAAAAGTGCCGGGTCTCCTTTATTTATTCACACAAAACAGAGTATATACATTTTGGTGGTGATTTTCATTTAGTTCGTCCATTTTGCCAACGACAGGGCATGTGAATGTCAAATTTAATTTAATTCTAAAATTTAAAGGTCCTTATGTCATTTTACTTATTCTATTCTGTCTATTTTCGTTTCTAAATATTCTCTAACTGAGTAAAAACATTTCGTTACTAGCCACGTTTTAAGCTTCCTAAATCATTAAAATCATGTTTGTAATATCTTTTTGGCTGTATAGGCTGTATAGGTGCCCTGAGCCGCGAGTTTTGCTCGCGGCTCAGGGCACCTATACAGCCTCAACCGTCACCAATATTGAAAAAAAGTGTAATGACCTAAAATGTTATTTGGTTCAATACCGAGGTGCTAAATTTTCATATTTTTGAAATTCGGCCCCGTTCTCGGGATACATACGTTTTTCGGTCGAATTTTCGGTATATTTTTTTCGATTTCCAAAAAAGTTTTCCTGAATTATTTTTACATCTTCTTAAAACCAATCAAATTCGTCTTTGGAGCTCTCATACGTCCTCGTGGCCCTAAACCTCGGGGTATCACGAGCGAGTCGCTCTTTCAGCGAATATGGGAACACTGAAGCAAACGACAAAAACCATTTTCAATATTAATATAACGGACACTTATTTTTTCTTTTCTCAATTAACAAAAAAAAATGACAAAGAAAAAGAACGTCAAAAAGTTTGGAAGTGGGGTTTCGTGACGTCACTTCCAAGTAAAGATTGTGCCAAGATGTGACGTCATGCGATAAATCATCTGTTATGTTAGTGCAAAATAATAAAGAGAAAATACGTGTCCAATACTTTTTAAAAATCTATCTGATAGACGAAGAAATATAAGTTGGTCATCATCCCTATATTGCAGCTGCAAAGAAAATGATAGCATCTTCAAAACAATCATTGACGGCTATGTGCGCGACTGTTACACCTGATTCATTAATGAGACCATCAAACTTCAAAAGGGCTTCGAAAAGTTCCATTGAACAAAGTTTTTTTTATCTTAGTTTTCGCAATTGGCTATTAAAACTCGAAAGAAAGGGAGAAGTGTGACTGGCCGGGGAGACATTTGCCTATTTAGGGAGCCCCGCCGACGGGCTCCTGTTTCGATCGAGGCAGACAAGCCTCACTGATTTATTACACTGCCTTTTTGTAAGCCAAATCCACGGTGGTACCACTAAATAGATAATAGCCAAAAGGACAGCTCCCGCAATCCTGGAAAATAATTACTGACAATTACTGCTATTGATTTACGGCCGGTTCCAATAATAAATCAACCTTCAGTAAAAGGATAATCTGGTTCTGTTTCTTAGGCACCTCGCGCACTGGACAACCAGAGAACGACCAGATTTACTAAAGAAACCATATGAATTAGGACGTATGTCTATTTTCGTTACTTTTATTACCTACATACATAAAATAAAACTAGTTTTTACGGAAAGTTTACTAGAAAAAAATCCACGCGGACCAGGCAGCGGACGGGACAAAAGAAATAAAAACTTTTATTTAAAAATAAATAAAAATAAAAGTTTAATTCTGACGTCAATAAATAAATAAAGTTTCGTGCATTAACCCGTAAAAACAGTTTTATTTAATGAGTGATGTGCGTGAAAACCTAAGAAACAAATATACATACATAAAAGTTTTATTACGTACTTACATAAGAAATAATAAATAATAGGCCGACTCCCTCCCCCCTGGTTAAAATTTATGATGTAAAAATTTAAAGGAAAAAATGAATACTTGGTTTGTTTCAATGTTTTAGTTTTGTGAAATGTTTTGGTAGTAATATACTTTGGTTTTAGTGTCGCTGCAAACCGCCACACGCCACAGCCACAAACGCCGCCATGAGAAGCTAGAGCGGCTACTAAAGTGGCTGAAGAGCGCGACAGCGGTCGACTAAGGTAAGGGAGAGAGGGGTGGGGAATCGCGCGAGTGACGTGTGGCGGCGTTTTGTATCGGCGCATTAAGTGGCCGGTGCGGGCCACAAGAAGCGAGCAACGACGATTTGTAGCGTGTGGCGGCCACCGGCGTACCGTGTGTGGCGAGTCCATATAAAATGTATGAAAACTACAAGAAATATGCCGGTGGCGGCGTTTTGTGGTTGTGGTCGGTGGCCCGTGTGCGGCGACACTTAATCATTCACTCTAGCGAGTGGCGTCGGTTCGTTGCCATGGAAATCTTATGTAAGAACTCGATGGCGCAGGTGGCTAGCGCGTTCGGCTGCGATCGTTGATGTTAAGCAACTTTCGCAGTGGTCGGTCATTGGATGGGTGACCAAAAATTTACTATCTCGAGCTCCTCCGTGCTTCGGAAGGCACGTTAAGCCGTTGGTCCCGGCTGCATTTGCAGTCGTTAGCACCCACCAATCCGCACTGGGCCCGAGTGGTGGGTCATGGCCCAATCTCCCTATTCCATCCATAGGGAAGGCCTGTGCCCCAGCAGTGGGGACATTAATAGGCTGATGATGATAATGTAAGAACTATCGAAATTCACTCCAACCCCCTTGTAAGAGGAAATAAGACATGGTCGATCCCCCTCCTCCCCTAAATCGTTCTACGTAATAAATGAATGGACCATTGACCCAGCCGACATTACTGCGACGGTCGCTGCGGCCAACTTACATGCAATTCAGAAGAGTATTTAAGGTGCTTGTTGTACGAACAACTTTCGCGCGTCGCCAGCCAAAATTTAAGTTACCATATATCTATAATAAGGTATATTATGTTGTTATGAAACAACTTCGAGAGAGAAGCCAATAGAAGAATTCAGTTAGGCTGGGCAGCATTTCGTAAGCTTCGTCAAGTCTTCTCGTCACCCATCC